TATTTTGTTCATAAGTTATTAGAGTTGCCAACCGTCCCGTCTGGTATTCAGAGAAATATTACGCGTTTCTTATTGAGGTGAAAAGGAACAGTTTGTCCCGTAATTCAGCTACAATGAAAAAGGCACAAAGCTGGAGTTATTCTGTGTTTGCTGCACAGCTGCCTCTTCTTCTCTCATTCTCTCCCCCTCCCTCTCCTGTTTCTACTTCAGTCATGAAACTGATCAATGATCAGCTGATCGGCTCTCTTGTTTGTTTATCGCTCACTTTGCGCCGAAAGAGGAAACCAGCGGATGTCGCGCTAAACAACAGCAGCACGTTTAAGCTTGATCAGCTGTTGTTAGAATTTATTTAATATTAATTTCTAGTATCAGCTGATGTTTGCTGGAGCCACAGCTGCAAAAAAGCTGCTGGTCATGATATGGTTTGGTTATCTGGTGAGAGGGAAACATGAAGATGAAACCAGGAGATGTCCTTACTGGATCATCAGAGCTGAACAGGTGATGGAGAAACAGGTTTACCTTTTAGGTGACATGAATGAGTTGAAGGGAAGTTATGAACTGTTTCTGAGAGACAAATAACACCAGGATCCTTTTTTAAGTAGCTGACAGCTGGTAACTGTGCAGGGGCGGGTCTAGCAAAGTGTTGCCAGGGGGGCATGTAGGGCATTAACAGGGAAGGGGGGCACAAAGAAATACTTTCTTATTCTCATTTAATATGTCTGTTAGGTGTGGCTGTGTGCAGGCAGGAATAGGACCCAAGGTGCAGACTCCGGAGACAGACGTGAACTCAAAAAGGCTTTAATGCTGAACGCAACATGACATAACTAGAAAAACTCAAAATAAACTTACACCGGTGGACAGGCAAAACACACAGCAAAATAAACGGTAGATCGCGACACAGACACCAAGAAACACAGGGCTTAAATACACAGAGGGAGCAATCAGGGAATGGGTAACAGGAGGGAAACACAGCTGGGGCAAATCAGGCCTAACGAGACAAGGGGGAAGCAAAACCAGACACATTAACATCAGACATGGACTTTCAAAGTAAAACAGGAAACATAACACAGACTCACGGGCAGGCACTATAACAAAGGGAACAGAGACGTGGGAACAGGGCAGACACAAACACTGAGAAATAGGAACTAAAGATACACATAAACGCGAACTAGACAAGGGGATGCAGGTGATAGGGGAGACAGAGCAACTAAAGAAGACAGAGACCTAAGCCATAAGATAGAACTCAAAGAAACCAAAAACTAGACAGTATAAATAATAATTGGTAAACGTCAATAAACCTGGGTCAAGCGACACAAGGCCCCCCATTCCCCACCAACCCAACTGGTCATTTTACAAGAAGTAATTCCCGTCGAAACACCCCCCAGCCCTGTTATCTTCGCACTTATAGCTGCCTGCTTGAATCGTATTCTCGTGTCTCTCCCCTCGAAATTAATCTTGTCTTTTACAGAACAAACGGTGATAGATTTGATGTGCTAGTCATACCGAACTTCCAAACAGTCGGACATTATTGGGTCACAACATTGTAGTTTTCCAGTTTTTTCAGGTAGGGTTAATTGAATTTCCTATTAAGGTGGCCAGTTCTTTATCAATATGCGCGGCTCAAATTCTTGGGTTCCAGGTGCGCCTTTGGTATGCAGCTTCATCTTGGGCATGTAGGGGGTGGTTTTACCATCGAATTTTAGCAGAAACTTCCTATTTCAGAAGGGGCAGAATTTCCGGCTTCTGAGTAATCGAAGCACGACGCTGAAAGTTGTGGCGTTCTGGTGAGCCTCATCAGAGAAGTTGTGATTCCACATGTGACGCTGTGACGTAAGCTAGAATCATGGCAGCAGTCAACGACGGTCCAGGCGTGGGATTCCTCTCGTGGAAATATGCACATTATATTTTCCTTTCTATTGATAGGTGGCACAGTGCTAACATGTAAGCAAGCTAGAAGACAGTTAGGGAAGCAACACATTAACAAGAGAATTCTGAGTAAAACCAAAGTTACTTTCCCTAGTAACTAGTTACTTTGAAAGTAACGAGTAACTTGAAGTAACTGAGTTACTTTTGATAGAAGTAACTAGTAATGTAACTAAGTTACTAATTTAAAGTAACTTACCCAATGCTGTTAAAACGACTCATTCACTGGTCATGAAGACATTCTCGCAAAAAAATCACGGTTTTAGTAACGCAGCTTTCCTAAGGGAAAGTAACGGTAATCTAATTATTATTGTCTATCCCTTTAAAATAGTCAGATGTCTATTTTTATTAATGTACAGAATTCACCTGCTTGCTGCTACTACTGCACATTCACCCAATGTATATACTATATTTATATATATATATATATATATATATATATATAATGTTCTTCCTCTACACCCCCCCCCCCCCCAATTTTGCATCTTACTTTTAGTGTGTCTAAAGAGATTAGCTACCCCCTTCTCATCAATACAAAATGATGGGGGAGTGATAGTCTTTTCCCTCAGTGTGCTGGTCTGCCTAGAACAGTCAAAGTTCTCAAAACGAAGGTAAAAACTGTTAAGACTGTCTGCCAGATGTTTTTAGAGGTAAACCCCTCTAAGGTAATATTACTTTTACCTTTCATCTGTAGCCCTGCCATTGTTTTCATACCAAGCCAAGCTCTTTTGAGGTTGTTACTGTGGAGTTTTCCCCCAATCTTATTTCTGTATCTCATCTTGGCAATCTGTATTGCGGCCCTCACCTCCTTCCTCACTATTCTCACAGTGGTAATGTCTCCCTTGTTAAAAGCAATTTTCGTTTTAAGAATCAGATCCTTAATATCTTTAGATAGCCACGGTTTGTTATTGGGGGAAGTCTTAAATTCTCTTACTGGAATTACAGAGTCTTTGCAAAAAGAGATGTAGCTACACACCACATCAGTGAATTCATCCAAATCAGAAGTGCTCTCTTGAAACAAGGACCAGTCAGTACAATCAAAACACCCCTGAAGGGCAACACAACTGTTTTTTGTCCAGACATTAGTCCCAAAGCCGCTGATTCGCAGTGAAGTGTCACTGTCCACAGCGGTCAGCCACGTCTCAGTAAGTGCCATCGGGCAAGCCTCCCTGTATTGAAGCATTAATTAATCTGTACAACACTAAAACGTTTTTTCATCTCTGTGTGTGGAGTGAAGCTTTGGAATAGACTACTTGAAGAACTGAAGCAATGTCTCAGCATGACTCAGTTTTAAAGGTGGTTCAAAAAATATGGTTTTTGCAACGTACAGGGAGGAGGTAGGGCTCGACTGGCGAGATTTCTAGAAATAAAAGCTCCATCCAAAGAGGGATGGATGTCGACTCTCCTAACAAGACCAGGTTTTCTCCAATTATCTATAAAGACCACATCATTTTGTGGACACCACTCAGACAGCCAGCAATTTAAGGAATGGTGCGATTGGGGAGGGGACCAGAGAAAACTAAAGAGTCTGACATTGTTTTGGCAAAGTTACACACGGATTCAATATTAATTTTAGTGAGCTCCAATTGATGTTTACGCTTGAAGTTACATTTACCCTTAACCAACAGTTTTAAATTTCCCTTATTGGGGTGAGGGTTAAACCCCGCACAGATGTTCCTCTTTACTATGCTAGCCACTTAGTTGTGGCGTTCTGTGTATGCCCTGCCTGCTAGCATCTTGTGCCCTGCTGTTATGTCCTGCATTGTCTCAGGGGCATCTTTACACAGTCTACACCTGGGATCTTGCCTGGTGTGATAGACCCCAGCCTCTATGGATCTTGTGCTCAGAGCTTGTTCCTGTGCTGCCATGATTAGTGCCTCTGTGCTGTCTTTCAGTCTGGCTTTGTCCAGACTGGTAGGATTTCTGGATGTCAGCCACTTCCTCTATCTGCCGGTGGTACA